GCATTGATTTGGGTTCGAGACTAAAAATAATGTTTTATATAAAGACATTTGTTTATACCTCATAAACTAATGTTTTTTATATACATTTTTAGCATTTTTTTCTGGAAATTTTCTAAAATTTCAAACATGTTTTAGCAAAACTGCACACCGGATACCCCATATTCTTGATCAAATGCGTATTCAACCAAGTTGAAATCACGAGCTCACAATATGTAAGTTAAACGCTACGTAGTTTGGCATTTCGTTTTCTCCTGGCAGCAATTTACCATAGTCACATATGAAAATGTTGATATATTAAGTATCATTAATGATTTTTTCTCAAAGGTGTTTGCCGACGAACTTAACAACATGTTTACTTCTTTTTGGATGTACTTTAGCTGTTATATCAACATTTTTAGGATCAGGGTGGCGGATCTTCGGGTTCACATTGTCCAAGTGTCGAGCAAATTTATTTCTGTGGCGGTGAATTCAAAATTTTGATTGCCGCTTTAAATCACAGTGATTTCAAAATTGTTTCAAATGTTTGTGTTCAAGAAAAACAAAATTTACAAATTATATAATCTTAAAAAAATTAAATAAATTAGTTTATCTCAACAAAGATATTTTTTTGATCTTTAATATAACATCCATTACCTCGTATAATAATTTTTCAACCGATAAGTTCAACCGTTTCTGAGATAAAAGGTCACTTTTGGCTACAAAAATGTCCTACAATTTCCCTTACCAAGACACGTAAGGAGAGACATACATGATCTAGAGAGAGAGGTCCAACGGTACAAGAGGCTTATCGAGCAGAAATTACAGAATTCACACGGAAGCAGTGAACCAGGCAATGGATCAATACCATGTGAATGCAGTACTAGGAGTTCACCCACCATCTATATCAGCAGAAGAGCGACAGCTGCCTAGACAAACAAGACTGGTTTTTGCCCAAATAAGATCAGGATGGTGCAGCCGCCCCAATTTCTATTGGGCCCGAATTGACAGCGCGGTACCAAACACATGCCCTGCATGTGGATTTGGACCTCACGATACGCTGCATCTCTTTAACTACCCTGCTAAACCCAATCATCTGTCTCCGGAATCTATTTGGACGCAGCAGTTACAGATTGCAACCTTCCTGAACCTGGAAACAGAGGAGTCAGAACCAGAATAATTAAAAAAAAAAACAAACATGTAGACAGTTGCTACAACAACAACAATCGGTATAAAAATCACACAAATCCATGCAGTGGTTTGTAAATTACAGCAACAACAAAATATTTTTGGTTTGAAGAAATAATTTCATCATATTTATCTTATAATTTTATACAAGAAGTTGAAGAAAAAAATCAGCTATTTAAGCTAAATTTCACGGAGGTACATATACATCTTGCGGATTATATCAAGACTCTTTAAATATATCACTAGGTTCTATAATTAGGAAATAATTTTAAACTAAAACTATATTGTGAATTATACATTTTAAGTTGCATCTAAATCACGTAATCCTCAAAATCATTTGATCCGCATGCGGTCCAGGAAGTATTGAATTGTACCTTCCAATCCATGTATATTTTGCGAAATTTCATTTCACGGCTAAGATGTGGTACACGTTACATTGAAGTGCCCAAAAACTCGGAAAACGAGAATAATTTCCAAAAAGTTTATACGCCTTTAAATCTCATCCGATTTCGCTGTACACCTTAAAAATACCTCGATCTATATCAATTTTATTTGGGTCTATCAAGAACAACGAATGTAGTAACTCACACCATTTTTAAATAAATTGGGTACATCCCTCTTTTAACTGAATGTTTTAAAGTTCTGGTTTCGAAAATTATACATTTTAAGTTGCGTCTAAATCACGTAATCCCCAAAATCATTTGATCCGCATGCGGTCCAGGAAGTATTGAATTGTACCTTCCAATCCATGTATATTTTGCGAAATTTCATTTCACGGCTGAGATGTGGTACACGTTACATTGAAGTGCCCAAAAACTCGGAAAACGAGAATAATTTCCAAAAAGTTTATACGCTTTTAAATCTCATCCGATTTCGCTGTACACCTTAAAAAATACCTCGATCTATATCAATTTTAATTGGGTCTATCAAAAACAACGAATGTAGTAACTCACACCATTTTTAAATAAATTGGGTACATCCCTCTTTTAACTGAACGTTTTAAAGTTCTGGTTTCGAAAAAGTTCAAAATCCGTATCAGGCAATTTATTGAAAAGAAAATGATCCACACAAATTGCAAATAAATCCACGATATTTTCAAAAATATTTTTTGGCCAAATTTAGTGTTTTTGGCAGGCCAGTCTCTGCCGTTCTAGTAGATGGATTTCCACGAAGCTAGGTTTTATTTTATCCGGAACGGAAAAGGCTTACTGATCACGGGTACCCATATGAATCAAATGACAGATATAAAAATTTCGCTGAAAAAAGTTTTTTTTTAATTTGATTGCACAACTTTTTCAAATTTGGATGGATAATTCACACCACTGTGCATATTAAATTCCCAAAATATATATCAAATTACACAGATTCGAGAGTACAACAATCCTATAATTGATGTTTGGAAATTCCTGATTGCGCATTGATACTAGAAGGGCAGTTAAACACTCAAACCCGAGTTTCAATATGTCAGTCATTTAAAGGTAGATGCAGATAAGAAATATTTTTTTTTAGAAATTTGATCGCACAACATTTTCAAATGTTGATGGGTAGTACTGTGGAGCTGTGCGTATTACATTCCCAAATATATATCAAATTACTCAGATCCGCGAGTACAAAAATCCTGCAATGAATGTTTGGAAATTCCTGCATGTGCAGTGAGTGAAATTAGAAATAAAATAAAAAAAAACTCAAAATCGAGCTTTAAATTTGATGTGTCGTTTAAAGGTAGATGCAGATACATTTTCGAAAAACGATTATTAGGGGCGGAATCTTTATTATGTAGGCTTCAAAATCCATATAAGGCCATTTATTGAAACGGAAATAATGCAAAAAAATACAAAAAAATCCTCGATATTTTCAAAAATATTTTTTGGCAAATTTCATGTTTTAGGGAGTCCAGTTACCGCCGTTCTAGAAGATGGATTTCCACAAATAAGATTTTATTTTATCCGGAACGTAAACAAGCTTACAATCCCATATAAAATAGTATTTTTTAGCAATTTTATCGCACGATATTTTTTAATTTGGATGGATAGTACTGTGAAGCTGTGCATATTACATTCCCAACACATATATCTAATTATATATATATCAAATTACACAGATACGCGAGTAAAACAATCCTATAATTGATGTTTGGAAATTCCTGATTGCGCATTGATACTAGAAGGGCAGTTAAAACACTCAAAACCGAGTTTCAATATGTCAGTCATTTAAAGGTAGATGCAGCTAAGAAATAGTTTTTTTTAGAAATTTGATCGCACAACATTTTCAAATTTTGATGGGTAGTACTGTGGAGCTGTGCGTATTACATTCCCAAATATATATCAAATTACTCAGATCCGCGAGTACAAAAATCCTGCAATGAATGTTTGGAAATTCCTGCATGTGCAGTTAGTGAAATTAGAAATAAAATAAAAAAGAAACTCAAAATCGAGCTTTAAATTTTATGTGTCTTTTAAAGGTAGATGCAGATACATTTTCGAAAAACGATTATTAGGGGCGGAATCTTTATTTTGTAGGCTTCAAAATCCATATAAGGCCATTTATTGAAACGGGAATAATGCAAAGAAAATACAAAAAAAATCCTCGATATTTTCAAAAATATTTTTTGGCAAATTTCATGTTTTAGGGAGTCCAGTTACCGCCGTTCTAGAAGATGGATGTCCACAAATAAGATTTTATTTTATCCGGAACGTAAACAAGCTTACAATACCATATAAAATAGTATTTTTTTAGCAATTTTATCGCACGATATTTTTAAATTTGGATGGATAGTACTGTGAAGCTGTGCATATTACATTCCCAACACATATATCTAATTACTCAGATTCTCAGGTACAAAATTCCATAATTGATGTTTGGAAATTCAAACTCGAGCTTCAAAATGTCAGTATCATTTAAAGGTATATCCAGATACATTTTCGAAAAACGATACATAAGAAACGTATTCCTTATTTTGTACTTTTACTTTAGCACGAAGACCGTGAAATGGGTGGTTTAGTCACAAACGTAGATGTAGATAAATTTTCGAAAAACTATTATTAGGGGCGGAATCTTTATTTTGTAGGCTTCAAAATCCATATAAGGCTATTTATTGAAACGGGAATAATGCAAAGAAAATACAAAAAAAATCCTCGATATTTTCAAAAATATTTTTTGGCAAATTTCATGTTTTAGGGAGTCCAATTACCGCCGTTCTAGAAGACGGATTTCCACAAATAAGATTTTATTTTATCCGGAACGTAAACAAGCTTACAATCCCATATAAAATAGTATTTTTTAGCAATTTTTTCGCACAAAATTTTTAAATTTGGTTGGATAGTACTGTGAAGCTGTGCATATTACATTCCCAACACATATATCTAATTACTCAGATTCTCGGGTACAAAATTCCATAATTGATGTTTGGAAATTCAAACTCGAGCTTCAACATGTCAGTATAATTTAAAGGTAGATCCAGATACATTTTCGAAAAACGATACATAAGGAACGTGCTCCTTATTTTGTACTTTTACTTTAGCACGAAGACCGTGAAATGGGTGGTTTAGTCACAAACAGCGAAAAATGGGTTGTCTCACCGCGTTTTTACCCATTTTGTACATTAAAGTAGATACAGCTTCCACCAAAATATACTTTAGAGGTCAATATCATAAAAAGTTTGCAACGGCAGGTGAATAAATCCAAATATATTCAATTTTTTTCATATACTTTAATAATTCCCGAGTTATAAAGGGGTGGTCCTCGGCATCAGCTATGGATATTAACTCTTGATATGATAATTATGAACAATTAGATTTATTATTATAAGACAATACTGTTCAAATATTTGTACCAACCTTGACACGTTTTGCATCTTGCCTACGTTTCCATGGCCTTTGTAGCACCAAATACACTGGTAATGTGATTATATCACAAACAAATGCTATGGCCTTTATGGCCCCAATAGCACTTTGTATCCAGAAACTTTCCATTCTAAAAATAAAAGAAAAATATTCAGTTAGCAAAAATCAATATTCGACATTAAAAATCAGTATAAGATAAAGTTAACAATTGTTGTTGTTTAAATGCTTAAAATGTTTCTTTCTTGAAATCAAATCAATTGTGACATAAAATATTTGACCATGATAATTCCGACACGCACGGTTAAATGTAGGCACAAAGTGCGATGTTGGTAACGTTTTATTAAAACATCGTCAATAAAGATAAAAAAACACATTGAAATGATATTAGGAGACAACAACGAACAAATGTGTAGATTACACTTTAATAAAGCTACGTCGGGAAAGTGAATTTTGTATTGAGCATATGTATAGTATAGTGTGATTAAAAAGTTCACTAGCAAAATAATTTTATATACCGTTTTTGTCGGTAAATTAACCACATAAACTTAAATGTTGTACTCGGTTTTAATACTTACTGCGCATCATCTTCGATGAACATTTTTATTTGTTTTTAAACTTCACTTAATGCACTAATACTATGTATGATTTCGTATTTTGAAGATATATTAGCTATTTTACAATTATTTATTAATGCAAGAAGTTTTCAGGTCTCTTCCTTAAACGATTTCCTTGTCTTCGTTTAGCTGCTATGTAAACTGATGTATGAAGTCTATTTAATATGGTGTATGATTTTAGATTTATTTAATGACTGATTTTATGCGTGTACTCTTTTTCCATATGCAGGTAGTGTTCCAACATCAATTATATCTATAATGTACAAAAAGACAAACGTATCAGACATATAGTTAAAGTGATATATGAAATGAATGAAAATTATCATGTTATTATGTGGTGAAAAAGTCCACAAAATTGAATGTTACACATCGAGTAAAGAAATGATGTTGTACAATGCAAACATGTAAATATGAAATATATTTAACGGATGACTATACGAAAATAGGACAGGAAAGTTGTGTTAATGAATATGAGAGATGTGCTATACTGGTAGCTTTGTTTAAATGACCCATATGCGGAATACACACAACACTAATTTTATTATGGACGACGACAATGTGCTATGAACGTTTTAAAACAAAATCATTGTCAAATTGCATAAATTTTCCCAATTTGTTTGTATGAAGAGAAATTTTACATTTAACGCATACTACACCTAATAGCTGAGGGTATAATAATCTACATCAAAGACAGCGGTGGTCGAAAAACGATGACACTACTTGTAGCATATTAAGAGACCTCGAATGGGGTTGGAAAGTCGCTGAAATATTGTGTTTCATCATCAATCGCGTCAAATGGCCAAATATTGATAGTCATATAAATAAATCGCCCATAGTTGCACTACTTGCAGCATAAAACTTGCAGATGTATAATCCCATCTTCCCGCAGAACCGCTGCTCGATCTGCAGTGTTACTATCAAGAGGAACGTTATAGTCCGGACAAAATATGTTACAATTGGTGCCATTTAAGACGCTGCAAACTTGCGGTCCCACATACACGGAAGTGTAAGAGCCTGAATCAGTGAGGGAGAGGTAATTATCTCCAAATCTAAGCCAAATCCCCAAATTATTTATTTCAAAGTTTATAATTCCTGATAATTGGAAAGTGGTCCTAAGTATTCCATTTCTAAAACCTGATAAGTCCTCTACACGAGTAGTCTTAAATATGTAGCAAAAGATGTACCACTTTTTTTTAAATGATACTTTCTGTGATACTACAAACACCCGCTATTCCTGGAATGTGCAGGTCGGTGGGCATAAAAATTCGACCATCAACTACACTAAAATTTTCGAGGTCACATTCCAATCCAGAACATGGATGAATCAAACAGAAAGAATGTCAACATAAAATTGCAACTAGTACATGTCTTAAAATATTCTCCTGGCAGAACTAAAACGAAAAGAATTAAGTTGTCAATTCACAGAACAGCTGGATTTGAACAGGTTAGCACTAAAGTTTAACAATTCATGTGTTCTACCTTTTGAATTCTTCTACCTTAACTGGTATTATATATCTTTTTTATAACTGTTATTATATTCCATTTTTATATTTTACAGTTTTTTACGACAAAGGCGAAAATGCAAGTCAAGCGGCTATAATTGTAAATGGTGTTTATGGTTCCGATACTGTAACAGCCATTTATGTGCAATTTTGGTTTCGTAGATTCCATTCGGGAATTTTTGATGTTAAAGATGCACCTCGCCTAGGTAGGCCAATCGTAGAAAATTTCGATAAAATGGGAGAAATGATCGAAGTTGACCGGCATGTTAGCAGTCGTAAAATCGTCTAGGAGCTATAAGTCGGCCATAAAACAGTTTTAAACCATTTACAATTGACCAGAAACGGCCTGAATTGGCCAACAGAGAGGTGATGTGTTCCACCAGGACAACGCTAGGCCACAAACATCTACAGTGACCCGCCAGAAACTTTCGGGAGCTTGGTTGGGAAGTTTTAATGCATCCGCCATACAGTCCGGACTTGGCACCAAGCGATTATCATCTTTTTCTTGCTTTGCAAAATTTCTTTAATGATAAAAAATTGGTATCTAGGGAGGATTGTGAAAATCGACTTCTAGAGTTTTTTGCAAATAGAGAGCAGGACTTCTATGAGAAAGGCATTATGAAGTTACCTTTAAAATGACAATAAATCATACAACAAAACGGTGCATATTTGACCCAAATCGGACATTCCGAAGCATGTTAAATAAAGTCCTATAGTTCATATACAAATAATGGATTTCTTTTCCCCCAACATAATAATAAACTTTGTTGTTCATTTTTATATATGGAATTGTGATATTAATTCATGTACTTGAGTATTTAGTATCTTGCCAAACATTAAAAATATTGTCCAGTCCTCCAAACGCTCCACCCCCATCACGAGCATAAATAACAACCTATCACATCAACTTTCATGCAGGATAAATTTAATAGTCTCACCTACGAAATCAACTGCATCACTATATATTTTCCAGATTTGTGAACTAAAAACCTTGCTGGATATCACTGTCGATGGCCGAAGAGTTCAACACCAAAATACAAGGAATTGTATTTGATGTACTGAGCTATACCGTCCCTGTTTGCTTCATTCCTAGTTGACCCAAAGCCGTAATCTGCAAACGATCCAAAATAGAGATTTGGTCAACGGCCTGTCATCTGCCAAGTCAGCACAGCCACCAAATTGTGGTGTGGGGCCCTTCTCAACGACACATCCAGACCTCTACATATTGTCAACAGCAGCAGGACTAAAACTGCTGCACACTCTAGAGCTGGACCAAGCCGTTGACGGATATCGCCTCAACAATGTTCCTAACTAAAATAATGCAGCAATCAGTGACACCGTAAATGCTGTCCTCTTGAGCTCAAATAGCTCGAAAAGGAAACTTTGATAACTGTTTGACGTAGAAATAACGTAAATAACTGTACTACGATGCTCTCACCGTACATCACTAGCTTCAATACATATGTATCGTATATCAAAATAAATAACTCTCGCAAAGTTTGAAATTTTTAGCTAATAAACTTATTTAGATTTACGGCATTTTGTATTTTTACAGATGTTTTTGTAATATTTCCATTCCATTTCGTAAGTGTTTCATGTATATAACTTTTCAATTTTTAAGTCAGTATTATTAAAAAGTAGTTAATGACAATGCTCATTCTTATAAAAATAATTAAAAATATAATGATTTTAGAAGAATGATAGAAATAAATGAAAAAACTATAAAAAGTACCTTCGGGTAGATTCGGCGTTTTGAATTTGGGGCACATTCGGCCATATGCAGATAGTGCAATATTATTTCCTTAAAATGTTTTTGAGTTTGTCTTTAAAAATAATCCATTAATATAGTTTGAAATTTCATATATAAGACTAACGTGCTTGCATTGACGAAAATGCGATAGAAAAAAGCTATTTCTGATGGTGTTGAGATGCCAACGTCCGCCGCTAGAAAATATAGACTTAAAAGTCTATCAAAAGCCGAAGCTACCCCGGGTAGGGCCACATTCGGCGAATTTGACTTCTTTTTACAAAACTGTACAAATGTTTAACTAATACTTTAATATTATATATTTTTTGTACTAGTTTTTATAATTAAGTATCAGAGGACAATAATCAGCCATAAAGTTGTTATATCTGTTGAATAAGAACTGAGATATAGAGGCCTAAAAAATAGTGCCGAAGGTGCCCCAGTCTTCCCTACTACTTCAGAAGATTTCTGAAGGTCCAACAAGAGAATACCATATTAAAGTGTCATCTTGTCGGTAAAATCACATTGTAAAGTTTTTTAAGTATATTTGATATGTTATGTCAGATGCACAATGATTCTTAGTAAGACCTTTCTGCAAATGCAAATATAGCTTATTATTATATATGGCTTGGCCACTAATCAAATTTGGCGACTTTTTTCTTCACAGATATCGCAGATGCCTGGTACCGCAATTCTATTCCATGCACCAATTGAGATTGTTTCTAAATTCTCTGAAATATATAAAATACTAGAGGACCCGGCGCTTCACTAATATTTTTTTTTTATTTTTCAATTTTAAAAGCCATTTCGTAACAATTCCATAATAAAACAATTTCGGGTTTTCACGCGACTTTTTTGTGTCTTTCTCCAACTCATCTTTCGTAAATAACTTCCCACTGCAATTAAAAACAAATGAAGGACAACTTTAGTCAAATCGGTCGAGTCGTTCTCAGTCGATGAGTTACTGTACATTTTTTAAGCCATTTTATTTATATATAGATTGAACGTTTATGTTGCCTATGCAACACAACTGGTTTAGAAATTGTGTTATAGTACTTTACAAATGCCAAAATGAAGTGAAGGTAAATTGTCATGCAATATAATTGCGGTCTATAAATATGTATGTTGCAGACATTCGATTTAAAAAACATGCCACTAGCAACTGAGTTCATGGGAAAAATGTACAAATGCATATGCCTGCGTAGGCATCATTGGCACGATACGCATAAATTTGTCAATGAAATAAAAATACATTGATTACAACGAATATATATATATATACTTGCGAGCTTCAGTTGTATATATATATACTATATATACTAGTGAGCTTCAGTTGTACTTGGACTCTTTACCACTAACTAAATATTTTAAAAATAAGTAATGTTGAAGGCGGCAAAATGCTGAATTATTTCAAAGTGTTAGGTAAAACATTAAAAAGTCACTATATTCGTACCAAAATCTGATCTATCTATGTCTCGAAGTGCTGTTGAAATAATAAGCTGGTTACGCCTTGTAGAGCCAACTAACTTATAAAAAAAGTCGAAAATCAACGAAAATAAGAAAGGATACCCTTTTGGTAACCTATGTAGAGATATGAACACGTCGATTTAGCCCGAAAACAAGATGAACTTCACTATTAAATGTCAGGAAGTGCTGTTGAAATAATAAGCCGGTTACGCCTAGTAGAGCCAACTAACTTATAAAAAAAAGTCGAAAATCAACGAAAATAAGAAAGTATACCCTTTTGGTAGCATATGTAGTGATATGAACACGTCGATTTAGCC